ACAGGCGATCGGCTTATAAAATTCATGGGGTTCCTGACTGGCCTAAAGGTTTATAATTATCATTGCATCATGAGCTAAATCCAGAATTTTGTTTCAGAATCTGAGACAAATTTACCCAATCCCTTTAATGTTTTTGTTGAAGGCATGCAGTTATTGCTCGTATCAATGTGTGAACATAATTGAGAACAATCCGATAAAAGATTAATGAAGAAATGTATATTGATACTTTTATGCCCTAGAAATGGGAGAGTTAAACACGGTCACAATTGATCAACCAGTTCGCCGATATCAGTTTTGCTATTATCTACTGTGTTCTCTACTCCGAAGCATCTAGAAATATCTTAGGCCTATATCTAAATACTTATTATGTGGTATATTTTTTCTATTTCTAAAAGACGGGCATGTTTCTCCGATTTTTCTGCATTCAATTTGAAAAAAAATGAAAGGCTATATGAAATTAGTTAATAACTTTTTTGTTAATTGCCACTATCTTCTAAATATACATCCGCCACTGGCACAGCAAGGTACAGTAAGGGGGCGAGAGAGTTGCCTCCCACACAGACAGAATTTATTGTTAATACAACAATATTTGTATCACAGAGAACGCTCCATCTGTTGGTTATTAGATTTTTCGTTTTTATTACTAAACAATTAATTTGCCACCTTACTGTCTGTTTACGATGGCACTGTCCTACATAATCAAAAGGCTTCTAATCGAAAGAGACACAAGCCTTACTTTATGAAATGCAAATGTTAATAATTTGACGGAAAAAATATAGATCAGGATTGGTTTTTCGTCTGAACAACTGGTACACCCCTTTCCCACGCCATAGAAGTGTCAAGCTTGTTCGAGACCATATAATTGTTTATACTGATGCATATTTTTTCATTATACAATTTCTATCCGACCTACTTTAAGAGAGCATATTAATGCTGATTAAAAAAATTACAAATCTTTGCGATTTCATAAAATAAGATGGTTTTGAATTTTGCAGGAATTTCAGGTTGAAAGAATATTTTGAAAGAAAGAAAGAATATCGAAGACGAAACAGAAATCCAACGCCAGGGAAATACATGTGCATTGATTTCCTAGATACTTTTAGTTGCTGTCATCAATTTTCGGAATAAATTGCGAATGTGGAAAAATGATATTACTATATTATATGGGTAGATTATGATAAATAATACTAATAATAATAACGTTTATTTAACCAGGGTAGCCACTTCAGTTATGAAACTGTTCTTCCAGCGGGCCCTGCATAACATAATGTTGTTACTACCCTTCTCTAATCTAATATGCTGAGCGCCTAGCTAGAAGGCAGAAGGTCCCATTGTTATAAGTCTTTGGTATGACTCGGCCGGGATTCGAACCCACGACCTCCCGTTCATGAGGCGGGCGCTCTAACCACTGAGCCACCATGCCCGGTTATGATATCATATCATATTGAATATCCATGCTTTGATATCAAATATATAAGATGTAGCATATAGATACACTGTCGCTCATGAAGGTGGAATATTTTAGTTTTAGCCCCAATTTATGGAATTATTTTAAAAATTATTTAAAAAATAATAGATATAGATAATAGTATATATTCTCAGATTTTAATGAATAATAACTTGCCAATGTGTGTTTTGCGGAACTGCTAAAGCATGTGTATGCTACTATGCTTATTAACTAGGGGACCTACGCTCTCAAGTCATAAATGACAGTAATGAGGATTAATGCCCCACAAAAGGGCACTAATAAAGCACATCGACACGGTTTTCATCCTGGGGCCTCACAGTGGGTCAATATCGCTATTCATAAGGACTGCTATTCATAAGGTTTGCTATTCATAAGGTCCACTGTTCATAAGGACCGCTATTCATAAGGTCCGCTTTTCATAATTGGAGAAAAGGGTCATTATTCATAAGGGTCGTTGTTCATAAGGACCGCTGTTCATAATCAAAGAAGAGGGTCGGTATTCATAATATTAGAAGAGGGTCGCTATTCATAATACGAGATCGGGGTCGTTATTCATAAGGGTCCCTATTCATAATATTACAAAAGGGTCGTTATTCATAACACAGAAAGAGGGTCGCTATTCATAATGCAAAATGAGGGTCGCTATTCATAATACGAAATGAGGGTCGCTATTCATAATGCAAAATGAGGGTCGCTATTCATAAGGGTCATTATTCATAATCGATGAAGAGGATCGCTATTCATAATAGGAGAAGAGGGTCGCTATTCATAATAGAAAAAAGGGTCGCTATTCATAATAGGAGAAGAGGGTCGCTATTCATAATAGTAGAAGAGGGTCGCTATTCATAATAGGAGTAGAGGGTTGCTATTCATAATACGAAATGAGGGTCGCTATTCATAACAAGAAATGAGGGTCGCTATTCATAAGGGTCATTATTCATAAGGGTCACTATTCATAATCGATGAAGAGGGTCGCTATTCATAATAGGAGAAGAGGGTTGTTATTCATAATAGGGTCACTATTCATAATATGAAATGAGGTTCGCTATTCATAATAGGAGAAGAGGATCGCTATTCATGATAGGAGAAGAGGGTCGCTATTCATAATACGAAATGAGGGTCGCTATTCATAACAAGAAATGAGGGTCGCTATTCATAATAGGAGTAAAGCGTTGCTATTCATAATACGAAATGAGGGTCGCTATTCATAATAAGAAATGAGGGTCGCTATTCATAATACGAAATGAGGTTCGCTATTCATAATGGGAGAAGAGGGTCGCTATTCATAATACGAAATGAGGTTCGCTATTCATAATGGGAGAAGAGGGTCGCTATTCATAATACGAAATGAGGTTCGCTATTCATAATGGGAGAAGAGGGTCGCTATTCATAATACGAAATGAGGTTCGCTATTCATAATGGGAGAAGAGGGTCGCTATTCATAATAGGAGTAGACGGTCGCTATTCATAATACGAAATGAGGTTCGCTATTCATAATAGGTGAAGAGGGTCGCTATTCATAATACGAAACGAGGTTCGCTATTCATAATGGGAGAAGAGGGTCGCTATTCATAATACGAAATGAGGTTCGCTATTCATAATGGGAGAAGAGGGTCGCTATTCATAATACGAAATGAGGTTCGCTATTCATAATGGGAGAAGAGGGTCGCTATTCATAATAGGAGTAGAGGGTCGCTATTCATAATACGAAATGAGGTTCGCTATTCATAATAGGGGAAGAGGGTCGCTATTCATAATACGAAACGAGGTTCGCTATTCATAATAGGAGAAGAGGGTCGCTATTCATAATAGGAGAAGAGGGTCGCTATTCTTAATAGGAGAAGAGCTATTCATAATAGGAGTAGAGGGTTGCTATTCATAATAGGGTCACTATTCATAATATGAAATGAGGTTCGCTATTCATAATAGGAGAAGAGGGTCCCTATTCATAATACGAAATGAGGTTCGCTATTCATAATAGGAGAAGAGGGTCGCTATTCATTATAGGAGAAGAGCTATTCATAATAGGAGTAGAGGGTTGCTATTCATAATACGAAATGAGGGTCGCTATTCATAATAGGGTCACTATTCATAATAGGAGAAGAGGTTTTTTTTTAAATCTATGGAAACTGCTCCCTACCCTAGCCCCCGCTGCGTACAGTCATGGTTCAGTGACAAAGCAATGGCCCCGTAACTGTGAGGCCCCAGGATCAAAACCGTGTCGATGTGCTATATTAGTGCCCTTCTGTGGGGCATTAGTCCTCATTACTGTCATTTATGAGTTAAGGGCATAGGTCCCCTAGTTGATAAGCATAGTAGCATACACATGCTTAAGCAGTCACGCAAAACACACATTGGCAAATTATTATTCAATAAATTCTGAGAATGTATACTATTATCAAGATCTATTATTTTTTTAATTATTTTTAAAATAATTTCATAAATTGGAATAATAAAAAAATATTCCACCTTTATGAGCGACAGTGTATGATGAGAAATGATAAAGATTGTTAATCAATAGTTAGCTCTACCGGTAAGATTTCAGTTTTAAAAAATGTTATAAGGTAGAATTCTCGCCGGTTTTTTAAAATATTAATTTAGTGCTATCCGGTTATGTCGTTATTTTATTTTCTGGTATGCGTATCATGGCGAAAATGAAAAGAGAAGACAATTTTAAAGAGGGGGGGGATGATGTTGATGAAGATAATGATGATGATGATGATGATAATGATGATGATGATGATGATGATGGTACTGATAATTTACTCCGTTTATATGGTGACATATTTCTGATTAAAGAACATTCAAAAGCACAGGCCCCTCCAATGAAAAGAGTATTTTTCACACTTGCCGAAATAGATATGTTTTGAGGCATTATTTGACATGATCTAGATTGAAGTCTCCCGAAGACAGAAAGGGATTGAGTCCTACACAGACTGGGGAATGGATGAAAAGACATAGTCCCCATATCACCCCTTCATGCGTGGTGTTGAGCCCAGCATGAGCGCAACCCAGGGCGAAGAAGAGATGGAAAAGAGAGACTCCAAACTCCCTAAACCCCTCTTGCATCATTTTACATTATGTAAATACAATCAAAGACGTCATTACTACCTAAAATATACTGGCTGTACTAGACTAATATGCAAATGAAGGTAGCGCCCTTTCGTACTTCATGAATGCTTTTATTGGACAAAGCTGAACATATGTAAATGAAAGTGTTTTATTTTTATCATTGTCTCTTACGGATGTTAATAATCAAAATTAAACCCATACAGATTTCTGAAGCACTGTTTCTGACGCTTACATCACTCAAAGCGCTACCAAATATGGAGTTGATTGTAATGCTTGTTTTTATTGGATAAAGCTGTCATATATCCACAATTTTGCAACACCTTTGTCTATTTAGTGCGTGCTTTTTTGATATAGCTAGAAATTATGGTGTATGTGTTACGCCCTTTCCTAGTATACTTACTGCTATTGGCTGCACCTGTCCCACTAGAAAGAGAGTGGTTACACCCTTTGCGTTCTCTCTGCTTCTCGGATCCCTTGATATTGTATACTGCTTAAGACCCAGTCATCACTTCCATCCTAACTATTGGACGAGAGCAGCCGCAAAACGAAGACGATTTTATTCTACAAGTTCTACGCAGAAGTAAAGGACCAAAGCCAGCATGTGGCGTGTGATTGGGCTCATGTTGGCAGCCCTGTTCGTGGGCACGAACGCAAATGTTATTATTCGTAAGTACCATGATATTGAGTAATTATAAACAATATTGTATGACAAATGTTGTGTGTTTTTTCAGCAGAAAACGAAGTTTTGTATATGATATGTTAAAGTTATTACATAGGCTAATAGGGAGATTCCGCGCCTAAATAACTTTGTATCATTATGTTAAACTCATTTATATTTATATTGCCCAAGTCAGCGGACTTGTGGATCACAAGGGGCAAAATGCACATGATTTACAAATGTCCTGATTTTCTCTGCTAATTTGATTTGTGTGGGTGTATTTGTGTGCGTGGACGTTTGTGAATGTGTTGTGTGGAGTGATATCTGTAATATATTGACCAAGTCAGCGGACTTATGGATCACAAGGGGCAAAATGCACATTATTTACAAAATTATATGCAACGCGGACTACAAATATTACATTTTTCTTCAAAGCTGACACTTAAATCGATTATCGATTATCGATTATGTTATTATGTACACGTCACAGACTTCGAACATTTTGTGATGTATAATTAATTCTCCATGATAATCAGATTAAAAGAGTTTAGATATTAAAATACGTTGGCGTAATGCTTGATAAAAAGGTCTCTTAACGAATCAGGCTCTTGAGACGATATGTTAACCTGTATTACCAAATGAGCTTTTTGAAAATGTTACGTTGTTCCATTAGTCTGCCCAGCACTCTTGGATTATTGCAATTGGGCATGGTCATCTCTTGAGGAATACCTGGTAGACTATCAAAAGTACAGAATAGAATGCCGAAAATAAAACTTGGTTCACATCCACAAAATCAATTATAGTTGATAAGAATATTATTTCCTGTCTTAAATTGGTAAGAACTGCCTGTGCGATGAAATCAACATAGGATGATTCAATTGTACAAAATGTCTTTTCGTTCTTTTGAAACAATATTCCGGATTAATTGTTAATTTCATAATAAAATAAGATTATTTAACAATACTGCAATTTGAATCTTTGAATACATGGGATATAGGCCTCCAGTGTGGGAGAGTCTCAGTGTGAATCGAAGAAAATCATTTTTTCCAGAGTTTTATTGTTGTTAATACGATTGTATTTTGATTTATGTTCAACGAAGGTGTTTGATTCGGCTTCAATGTTTAGATATTAATTTTAGTTTGCATCTTAATTACCATTTTGTATATATAGTGTGTTTTAATGATTAGTTCCTGCGAGGTAAACTTTATCTTTTTTACTGGGTGGAGTGTGGGAAATGTAGATTAATGTATTGCCAGAGGACATTAGCTGCTGTGATAGGAATTTTAAAGGTACTGTATCCCTTTTGCAGCCATCATCAAATTCTGCAGAACTTTGCAGGAATTATGAATTATACGTCACGTTTGTCCTATTTGTGAAATGTAAACATTAGCGGTAATCTGGTATTCAAAATATGCAAGGAAACCCGTTTACTTTCTGGACTTTATTGTCAAACACTATTGAGTGACTGACCGACTTCTTTTTTTCTTTGGTAATTACATAGACATAAAATGAACTGTATAGTGTACATGAGCATTTGTCTATATATCAATAACCCACTTCTTGTAATGGCCAAAATTAAACTGATTAAATCTTTACGCAGGTCAAAACATACGACCATTTGGTATAGGGGTAACAAAATCAGAATATCTACTAAATCAATTCAACAATTACTAATGGTCGTTATTTTCCCACGAAAAAAAGACATTTTCAAGCCTTTTCGTTTTGAAGGAAGTTCTCAATAAGTTTTATCTTTCAATTCAAATTTTTCAATTTTTGGACTGCAAATAGTACCTTTAATGTCGTACCTTGCCCTTCACAGTCCTGCCACGTATCCACTGGACCACAGCACCTTCACAAATTAGGGATTGAATACCAACCTGGCATAACTAGGCTTACGGCAAAACCTTTTTTCAACATTTGCCACTCTCCACACTCTGTGTATAGGAGTAACTGATATGCTTGCGGCTGATTACTTGGAATAAATTTGAGGAAATTCTGCAAATAAGGTTAATTTCGATACGGGAAAAATATATAATAAATTATTTTAAAAAAACAGTTCAACTAACTTGGAAAGAAAAATGAATATATATTTCTAACTTTAAATTCGCAATGTTATTAAATATTGTGCTAATATATTTTTTGATAGGCTTGATGGCGCAGCTATTCATGTATTGCGAGATCGAAATAATGTCTTGTGTGAAGGGAGTATAGTATAGTAGCTACACTCAAATCGCACACGTCGTGTCGAAGCGCGGGGCTCGATCCGCGAACCAAACGTGTGATCCATAGTCCCTGACGTATCCACTAAACCATGACCCCTCTTCCTGGAAGAAAGACATTGATTTCGAGATCTTACTAAAACAAAACAAAAAAAATACAAAGAGTCCGCCCAAAACTTCCAAAAGTAACCAAATTTCACTTCTTATTTTACGCAGCGGTGTGTCCCGTCATTTCGCATGAGGACGAGGTTCACTACCTGGCTTCCGACGAAACGTCCACGTGGGTCACGCTAACAGAATGGAAAACAATATCTGGAGAGGTCGAATCGCTCGATTGTGGTCCCTATGTTAGCGGAAAACGACTGCAGGTCGCCCTCGGCGAATGCGATATTGAATGCAAGGCCTGTGAGGGCGGTGCATGCTGCACCTACAAGTATCTCCTGACCGTCAAAGTTGGTGAGTAAACCCTTTCGAAACAACATTCCACATTTTGTGTTTGACCCAATACGCCTAATTAACATTTACATAACCCATGGCCAGGTTTAAGATTAGAGCAATGACAATGACAATGACAATTTATTCTCATGTCACCCACATTGGGGTATTGGGGAAGTTAAATTACAATCAGTTTGAATTTGTCAATTCAACATTGTACAATATACAATTCAAATCGAATTAATAGTTGAGTTTTGTTGCAGAGGGCGCTACACACAATAATTTGTGTGAGATAATGAAAAACTGAGTGTTAAATTTGAAAGTACATACAAATTAAATGACAAAATCATCTATGTTTGATCAAAATCGGTTCAGAGACGGCTGACATAAAATTATCCATAAATATAACGATTTCTAATACGTGGGGAGCCCCACATAGCCAGCAGTTGGAAAAAACGAGATGGAGCCTTATACATTTTATTGCAGCCAATGCCGATGTTGGCTTTTTGTTGGCTTTTTCATGTTGATAATAATACGCACAGCCGGCCCAAATTTTATTATTATTAACTAATTAATTGATTAACGGTCACCGTTTTTTAATTTTTTAAGGTATGATCGTATTGGATAATTTTCACACATTTTGGGGTCTATAATTACCTTCCTAGCAATGTTAGGTTCTAACAGAGCACTAGAAAAGTCTTAAATAAGAATAAGAGCAATAACCATGCGCTTTGAAGGTATTTGCGGTCTGAAACAAGAACTTAACTATCACTTTCAATAAAAATTACACTATCGGCAATAGTGAGAAAAATTATGATGATAATGATAATAATTATAATGATAGTAATAATAATATTATATTTAATTATAATGATAATACTACTACTATTTTTTATAAACGATGATAATAATAACAACAATAATTAATGACAAAATTTTATTGATGGAAGCAATTGAAGAAAAAAGGAAAGTTACTGGCACCAATTAACTGATATCTGAATGTATAGAATTACTGAAAATATTCTTGATATCAATTTAATAATTTGATAAAACACAAAAAAGAGAAACATAAAGTTTATTAATATTGAACTCATAACATGTTTTGTGCACATAATTAAATTAAAGAGAACAAAGCATTATTTGTCAACAACATTTTACTAAGTTTAAACAGGTTTGTTCACATGGCCAGGACTTAAACAGCTGACCCATTTTCAGTGTATTTGGTCTTTCAATTAAATATTTATTGATGGAGCTGGGAGAAAGGTCATCAAAAAAAACGTTTCGGACAGGTTGACTGTCCGTCTTCAGGAGTGAGTGAAGACGGACAGTCAACCTGTCCGAAACGTCGAGTCTACTCTCCTGCTCCTGCTCTGCAACTCTACTCAACTCTCCAACTCAATCCAGTCTTCTACTCAAACCTCTCATCCTATCTACAACTTTCTGGTTTACAGTCCTTTTCAGGACTATACTTACTTCTGAAAGATACTCTTCCTTCCAACCTCCACTTTCTCGCCTTTCTATTTTCACTTCTATTTTCTATCCACTTTCCTTAGTCCTTCTAGGACTTTACACATGGTGTACCGTAAACCTCTACCGTGATTATTCATACCACCATGCAAACCTTCAAACATCATCCTATTCTTATGAAGTATAGTCGAAGTTAGAGTTCTGGATATTTCGTAATACGGGGGAAAGGATCAAATTTACAAATCAAAATAAATTGTTTGGATTTTGCGGTAGCAATTATAATGCACTTAACTGTGTTCTGATGGTTGTAAGACAAGAAATATTTTCAGCTAAATTACGAAATCAACTACCATCATTTGATATAATTTTATCAGCTGTAAAACGTTATTATGAAATGGAAAAATATATATACCAAACAAATCTCAGAGAGAATAAACTAAAAAAGAAATAGTTTCACTTTAGAAAATATTTTGAGAGTGTTGGAAATGTGCTAACATAAAAATGATCATGTATTTTATGTTTGGTATTTTTTTTAAATTATATATTTAAAGTACTAATTTTGTCATAAATGTTTGTTTTTTATCTGCCACAAAAGTTTTTGGCCGTGATGATTATTATCTGTGTCAAGCCATTATGTATGGAAATTATTTCTTTAATTATTTGTATATGATATATGGATGTTCTGTATATGATGAAATTTGTTTTGAAAATAAAGAACCCTGTGGAAGGGGATTTTTTTTTTTTTTTTTAAATATATATATATATGGACAATTTTCTGTCTGAACGAAACACAGGGCAAACAAACAAGTGATGAAACTCGTCCCAAAGTGATTGCAAATTGCAAAGCGTTCATAACCTCATTTTCATGGGAGTATTTGAATATCGACCAGCTACAATCGGCAGGTAATGATTGCACAGCGAAAACGACTTAAAATTGTCCGATCTCTTTTAATGAGATCTTTCTAAACATAAATAATTTTTGACCCATTAATTACAACTAGTATTTTTACAAATTTCCCATAAATTAGACATCCCCTTTATTGTCCAGAGTCAGCTTGATCTTTTTCTACCAAGGTGCCAAATTAAGCGTAGCTTACCTTGAGCGCATCTAATATTGCGGGTTAAAGGTAACGTTTTTGTATGGGGTCATGAATTTGGTTCAAATGAATTAGGAAGCATATGCGATTTTACAATATTCAATGATCGTTGTCGCGGTTGAAATCGAGCCTAAAGTGATGAAATTATAGATAATAAACTCTTTATGCTGTATAGCGCCCTCTCAAGACAGATATTACTTTAGCTCTAAAACAATGTCTCTTGACTACGATCGACCAATTTGCTATTCCCGTTTGGAAATTATGTATCAGAACTCAGACGTGTACACAGGGGGGGGGGGAACCCCCCCCCCCTTTAACAATTCTCATGTGTACGTTTTGGATACCCCCCCCCCCCTTTTCTTTTTCCATAATAATTATGAAGAAAAAAAAGAAAAAAAGTTGTGGTAATTGATGACCCAAAAGAGCAGACCTTACCCCCCCCCCCCCTCCCCCCCAATATCGATCGGTAAAATTTTCAAATTTTGGGACACACAAAAAAAATGTGCTCTTACCCCCCCCCCCCCCCCCCCCCCCCCTTGAAAAAATCTTGCGTACGTAACTGTCAGAACTGCATATTCTGATATTTTCATGGTCGCATGTACCATGGAATGGCCTTAGGCTTTATTGGAAATATTAGAAATTAACGGGAGCACCGTTAAGTTTTTGATTATTCAATTTCTCGAAAGTGAAAGTGTTTAAGGGGCTACATTTTCTAGTGCTTATAACACATCTACAGGGGCGTCCAAATATACCTAAATTGTAAAGAATTACTATCAATCCAATTTTCGAAATTATTGGCCTAAACTTTGCATTACCTTTAAGAATAAAATCAAATGATGGAATATTACAACAGTACATTAATGATTTTAATATTGTAAGTTTAAATGAAACTAAAACTGAAAATATTCATGAATCTATTTTACCAGATGACTTCAAATACCTGTTTAAAGGCAAACCAAGTCAAAGCAACTTCTAATTAGGTGGCGTTCATGGACTTGGTGTTCTACTACGAAAAGAAATGTTCAATTTTGTGTCAATTATTAAACAGGTTAAATCCGAACCAGTATTTTGGTTAAAGATCAGCGAAAAAGCATTTGGATTTGCCTTTATACTTGATGCTGTTTACATTTACCCTGAAAATTCTAAAAATTTCAACGAATCTATGTTGATGACATTGTTTCTTATTTTTTCATGGTAAAAAGTGTACATAATATGTTATTTTGAATTTTAGGAGATTTTAATGCAAGAACAGGTATAGAAAATAAAATCTCTGGTTATTCTGAAAATGAGGATTGCGCGAATGATTCTGATAACGATTATATCGATACTGTGGATTTTCAGACTTCTAACATCAGTTTTGAGAAGATGTAACAGCGATCCTGTAATTAATAACCCCGGCAAGATATTTTTTTTTTAAATGTAGACATTTTAAACTGATCATTGCAAATGGTCGAGTAGGCGTGGATAAACAAGGTGATTTTGCATGTGCTAACACAAATACAATTTGATTATTGTGCCGCATCGCTCGAATGATTTCATGTTCTCAATAATAATATTGTGCGTTTGATGTATATGATCCCCTTTATGTCTAATAAACATAATCCCATGGTATTCAGATGAAATATCGAAAGCAGGTATGAAAAACGTAAAAGTGAAAAAAGGTATAAGAAAATTCGAGATCAACAACGAAAAATAAAAAGGCGTGTAAATTCTTTTAAAGATTTTATTAATAACATCGATCAAAGTCTAGTTGAAAATATACATTATGCCGTTGATCGTCTGGAGGGTCTCGACATTCAGGTTGATCAGGAATTAATCGATATTACGTAGTTTGTTTATTAAATAATATTTACCTTGCGGCGGCCCCAAAAGCGGAATGGTAAAAACCCATGGAAATCATAAACCGTGTAAGTGGAAGCCTTGTAAATCTGGTCGAAATGGGAAACAATGGTTTGATGCAAATTGTGCTCGGTTAAGGGCTCAGTATTTCATCTAAAAAGTCTTAGGAAGATTGACAAATTTGGTAGTATTGAAAAGGAATATACCAAATATAAGAAAATGTATTAAAAAAAAGCTATTCGTTCAACTCAAAACAACTTTGATATAAAAATCCACAGTAAATTAAGAAATCTTAAAAGCAATCAGCCACGGGCATATTGGAAAATCATTAATTCAGTAAACAGTTTAAGTAATGAAAAAACCCAAATTGAAATTCACTCTCTTGAACAACCCTTTAGTAGTCTGAGCCAAAATCATAGAGATAATGCAAATATATTTGAAGAGAAAGTACGTTTGGCTCTATAGAAATGGGTGACCATTGAATAAAGGGCCAGACTTCAATTAATGCAAGACAAGACAATAATATTTACAAATGTAAAGTTCTTCTAAGGTTGATTCACTACAGTTTCATAGGCATTATTTCATAGACGTTATTAGAGCACTGTGGCATTAAAAGAAAGATATTT